ATGTAAAATGATTATTAAGTGAAACATACATCAAGGATCGGGACGGATTTAGGGTGTACTAAAGCAATTGGGCTCCACACAATTCCTTCATGTTGTCCCAACACAAATCGATTAGGTTAATTCAATTGTTTTTACAAATTTGAACATAAAACAACCCCCCTCCCCCTCGTTTTTATTGAGGAAAAGTAATGTTTTGGAGTGTAAAAATGTGTGTGTGTGTGTGTGTGTATTATGTGGTAGCACTTTACAATGACGGTCCATTAGTTAATGTTATTTAACTGGATAGTTCCCACCCAGGCTCATTGGGGATATGTACCTTTATATACATTTCTGGAGAGTGCCAAATACGTCCCTGGAGGCACTTCTTTATATAGTTTTTGTTTTCGTGAATCCATCTGTGTATGCTTTTTTCAGATCTCAAATGCCATTCGCGCCTGCTGTTCTCGCATAAATCCACCTGAGGTCGCTGTCTGACTGACTGACAAACTGCTAACAGCAGAAAAGCCATCCACATGGAGGTAAGCGGTCAGATGGTAGCGCTAAAATGAACAGAAGCAGGGTCATACCGCCCTCGTAGCATTCATTTTAAAGATGAAATGCAGCCATACGTACCTCTGGCTACATAATTCACGCTCTTCAGAAATGTACACAGGGCTGTATATTCACAATGAGCCTATGTTACATACTTTTACGCATTATTTACGCACCCTCACGTGGTCATAATAAACCTTTTTTCCTCTGTTGAACACAAAAGAAAATATTTTGGAAAAGGCTGAAAACCTGTAACCATCGCCTTCCATAGTAGGATCAACTAATACTGTGGAAGTCAATTTATGGGTTTACAAAATCATTCATTCACTCGATTAATCGTTCGTTCATTCTTTCGTTCATGCTTACATTTTAGTATTATTAAGGGTAACATATATGGTTAATGTTATTATAACACATAGCTATTCATTCATTCATTCATTCTGATATGCTTATATTTGTTTTACCGCATTTTAGACTTATTTAGGGTTAAATATATGATTAACATGTAATTATAACACATAACTTAACTAAATAAATAAATAAACAAAACAAACAAACAATTCATTCATTTATTCATTCATTCATTTATGCTATAGTTGTTATACCCAATTTAAGTCTTATTTAGGGTAAAATATATGGTTTACATGTTTATATAACACATAACTATTAATTAATTACATATATAATTAAATAATTCATTAATTAATTTATTCATTCATTCATTCATTCATTTATGCTTATATTTGTTATACCATATTTTAGTCGTATTTAGGGTAAAATATATGGTTAACATGTAATTATAACACAACTATTAATTAAATTACTCATTCATTCATTTATTCATTCATTTAATTATTCAATCATTCATTCATTCATTCATTTGTTCATTCATCCATTTATTCATTCTTATATTGGTTGCATTGCATTTTAGTCTTATTTAGGGTAAAATATATGGTAACATGTAATTATAACACATAACTAATAATTGAATTAATTAAATAATTCATTCATTCATTCATTCATTTATGCTTATATTTTTTATACTGCATTTTAGTCTTATTTAGGGTAAAATATATGGTTAACGTAATTATAACACATAACTATTAATTAAATTAATAATTAATTAATTAATTAATTAATTAATTAATTAATTAATTAATTAATTAATTCATTCATTCATTCATTCATGCCTATATTGGTTATAGCATTTAGTCCTATTTAGGGTTAAATATCTGGTTACCCTAAATAGGACTAAAATGCAGTATAACAAATGCAGTATAACAAATGTAAGCATAAATGAAAACTAATAATGAATTTATTATTAGTCTTATTTAGGGTAAAATATAGGATTAACATTATTAATACACATAATTATTAAATAATTCATTAATTCATTAATCCATTCATGTATGCTTATATTTGATATACCGCATTTTAGTCAAATGTTTGGTAGCATGTTATTATAACACATAACAATTAATTACATAGATAATTAAATAATTCATTCATTCATTCATTTATTTATGCTCATGTTTGTCATACCACATTTTAGTCTTATTCAACACATAACTATTATTTAATAAAAAAAAAGAATAATTCATTCATTTATTTATGTTTATCATACCGCATTTAGTCTTATTTAACACATAACTTTTATTTTAAAATAATAATAATAATAATAATAATAATAATTCATTCATTCATTCATTCAATCATTTAATTATTTATGCTTATGTTTGTTATACCACATTTTAGTCTTATTTAGAGTAAAAATATTTCGTTAACATGTAATTATAACATAACACATAGCAAAAAATATATTATTTAATATTATTATTCTTTCCACAAACAAATAAACAAGCTCTCTTCAAGTTCATCTACCAACCACCATCCATCCATTCATCCATCCATCCATCCATCCATCCATCCATCCATCCATCCATCCATCCATCCATCCATCCATCCATCCATCCATACGTAGGTTAATTTTGCCATTAGACACAGTTAAGCAACTCTTCTATACATTTACAGTATCTGCTTGCTTATTTATGGTGTCGTGTGTGTGTGTGTGTCTGACTGTTTGTTGCGCTGTTGGTGTGTTTCATTAGACGTGATTCTTCTTCCTGTGGCAGATTAGGTGAATAATTAATTTCCTCTCCGACATGGTAGACTGCTTGTAATTAAAGAGAGAGGGGAAAAAGCAATGAGACGCCTTGCTTCCATCACTTCCTCTCTCTCTCTCTCTCTCTCTCTCTCTTTCAGTCAGAGATTCTGCTTCACACACACAGTCGCTCACACGCACACACAGCTGAAAGTGTCCTTTAGAAGACCCCCAGAGCTGTCATAACTGCTTCGAATGCTCTTCAGCAGAAAGTCTCTTCCTGTCTCCATCTCATTATTTGCACTGTAGCTCAGATCACAGACATTCCTGGTCAAAGCCTCATTTAAAGTGCACCTGAAATCAAAACTAACCATAATGGTGAGCCATTCACCTGTGCATGTCATTAAGACACAAACAATAGTGTGTCCTTATGATCTTTACTTGAAATCTGCAAATGCACTTTCTGTTAGTTTACAGTGAAATCGTCAGATTAGGTCTGTCTGAGGTATTGGGCGTGGCTAGCATACTTAACCACGCCCCCTCCAGCTGTCAGTTTTGTCAACTAACAGAAATGGAAAGGAGGAGGAGTCTGTCAGGTTGTAAAACTCTCCCCTAATCCCTTTTCCCAATCTTTCTGAATGAAACGCCTACTTTACTACATCCAATCCGCTCACAGTAGACGAAAACAAGCCACGCCCACCTTTGTTTAATTTAATATTCTGTTTCTCTAGGAACTGCATCACAATACAGAAAAAAAACAAAGCAAAAATGGTAGCAGCTTCTGTTTCATGCAGACTTTAAGGCTCATAGAGAGAGACTTTGTGCTTGTATTGTGCTGGAAGGTGACAGAAAGGCTGTTTTTTCTTTCTTGGATGTACCCGAAAACCAGCATCACAAATGTGGTTGAATTTTCGAACATGCAGTAAGCAAACTGTTTGAGGAATGAGTGAGCAACTCTTCAGTTGAATCATAGCACAATAATCTGACGGGAGTTAGTTATTTCACATCAGTCCTGCTTTGTTTGGTAGTGTTTATATTTGTGTTTCCATCGATTCTGTGCGTTCATAATGGTCTTTTTACATACTGACATACACATTTTTTTGTTATTTGTATCGTTTATTTATATATTCAGTTGAAGTCAGAATTATTATCCCCCCTGTTTATTTTTCCCCCCAATTTCTGTTTAACGGAGAGCAGATTTGTTCAACACATTTCTAATCATAATAGTTTTAATATCTCATCTCTAATAACTGACTTATTTTATCTTTGCCATGATGACAGTAAATAATATTTGAATATGCATTTGAAATGCATGAACACATAAATAAATAAATAAATAAATAAATAAATAAATAAATAAATAAATGCATGAACGCATAAATAAATAAATGCATAGATAAATAAATAAATAAATGCTTGAACGCATAAATAAATAAATAAATGCATAAACGCTTAAATAAATAAATAAATAAATGATAAATAAATGCATGAACGCATAAATAAATAAACAAAAATAATAATAAATAAATAAATAAATAAATGCACAATTGCATAATTGCATAATTGCATAAATAAAAAACTAAATGCATGAATGCATAAATAAATAAATAAATAGGCAAATGCGTAAACGCATAAAAAATAAAATAAATACATGAACGTATAAATAAATAAATAAATAAATAAATAAATAAATGCATAAATAAATAAATAAGTGTAAGCAAGTATGTTAAGTTGTTAAAGTTAAGCTTAGAAAAAAAAAAAAAAAAAAAAAAAAAATATATATATATATATATATATATATATATATATATATATATATATATATATATATATATAATGCATGTATTTTTGTTGAAAAACATTTCTATTTATTATTATTATTATTATTATTATTAGGTTTAAAAAGTGTTTTACGTATTACAGTGGAAATATATAATATATAGATGACTATATTGAAAGTTTGAAAATGTACAAGTATTAAATACATGTTTACACACAATGATTCATCACTTCATATACATCACCATGAAGTGGATGAATTCACACAATGTGTCGTACTTTTTCCTTATTTTTATGCTGCAGTGCGATTAATTTCCTGATTGCCTGTCGTTTATTTAGGCTTGATTGTGTGGTTAAACACACACACACACACACACACACACACACACACACACAGAAATGAATAAATAATAAAAGGTACAATCATCAAAATGCCATTGGATCACCTGCTTCACCTGATTTCAGAAATCTTTTTGAGAGTAACACGAATTTATTTTTGCCGCCTGCCATCACTTCACGCACTCAGTGTACAAAATCTACAGCCATACCACCCGATTACACGGTCACATCGCTTTATAAATGTCTTTAACGATTAAACTCCCAGTAAACATCGCCGAATGCTCTTTATTCTGGAGTGTATTTTCGCTGTGTGTCTTTAAGCGGGAGTTCTGTTTGTCCGACAGGAGGCGTGTCTCCTCCACAGAGCTCCATCTGAACATATGAACTATACCGCTCCATCTGTACTCACTTCATCAGCCCGAGCTGCTCTCCACATCCGAGGTAAGGACATTTATCTTCCCCATCAGCACTCTTTTCATCGGCTTGCGCGCTGCTTTTGAGGGAATTTACAATTTGGGCATTGCAGACTCTCAAGTTAGTTAAAATATCGCAGGCGGGACGGAAGAAAGAGTTCGTCGGATTTCAATGCTGCATGTGGCTCTTTTGAAAGACTAAAAGGTATTCGTATTGATCCCTAAGCACTTACATAGTTATGCACTGGCCGTTAAATAAATAAAGATAAACTAATAAAAGGTTTGTGGTTGTGGAGACTTTTATTTTGCTCCCGCACGCTTATTGCAAATATGATTATTGTGTATTAGTTGGTTAATGAAGCATGAGACCCCGGGTGAGAATGCACGATCATAGTTTATAATGCACCCCCTCCCACTCTCTCTCACACACACACACACGCACACACAGCTATCTTTATAGGGACTTCCCATAGACGCTTTTTATAATGTGCATATATTCTCTCCCCTTTAACCCAAACAGTCTGCATTTTTACATGTACATAATTCTTTATTCTGTGTGCTTTATGAGCCGTCTTCCT